GGGGGGGGGGGGGGGGGGGGGGTGTCGCCCGAGCGCCTCGCTGTCCCCGCCAGCCAGGGCTGAGTAAGGCCGGTGAGCCGCGGGCAGGTGCCTCCGGCTTCCTCGCGTTCTCCCCGCCCAAGGTCCTGGGCTGGCGACGGGCGAAGGTCGGGACGGGAATCGGGGCCAGGGGAAACCCTGGGGGCGTCGCGGCCGCTCCCCGGACTTTGCTTCCCCGTCCTGTGGCGGCGAGCGCGCTGGGCGGCCGTCCTGCCTCCCCGGCGACGCGCCTCGGCTGGTCCTCGCCTTGGCCGTCCGCCTCGGGTGAGTGCCCGCCGCATCCCCCGCGGGTCCTGCGGAGCGGCCGCAGCCCGGTGCTGTCCGGGAAGCCTCGGTGGGCGCTCTCGAACAGAGTTTCTGTGTCACGCACGGGAGGTTTATTTGCTTTTGCAACAGTTGAGAGAAGATCTGAGAAGGAACGGTTAGTTCCCTGATACGCAGTCGGAAGTATGCACAGGCACGAGCAAGCGCCCTTTGCCGGGTTGCCTCCCTTAACTGTCTTTTGCTGCGCTCAGGAAGTGAAAACTAATTTTAGTCTTTGCCTAGGCAAATATGAAATGAATCTGCTGCAAAGATTATATTATGGGCTTTATAGACACATACGAAGTATGGGGTGGAGTGAATTGTGACTAGCTTTTAAATAGACATACTAGACCTTCACAAGAATGGAACCATGGAATGTTAGAATTGACTGGGACCTTGAAGTTCATAGTAGTTAGTTTCTAGGATGGGGAAACTGAGGCCCAGAGAGGGTAACGCTGTTTAATGTGACCCAGGATTTGGGGCAACCTAACGGCAAAGCTAGTATCACAAGTCAGGTCTCTAGGGAGTATCTTGGTGTCTAACCCGGGTACTTTTTATCACAGCTTAGTTTTGTTTTTTGTAGAGTGTCCACCTTAGAATCTTGAGACTGAGCCAGTGATTTTGCTATAGTTCAAACCATTTTGAATTCCCTTCAAAACGAGTTTACCAGCCAAATAAGACAATCAGGCTTGTTACTTTATAGACACACTTTGCTTTCATCCAACATATGTTTTGGGCATGATCTCTTATTACCAGATTTGATCCAGTGACTTTTGGCTGTTTCACTAAACCAGATCTACCCTTGAGAGATTCCACTCCATGGAGTAGATTCCAACCAGTGGTGCTGCCAGTGCATAGCAGCCTCCCCAGGTGCTTGAAAGTACAGAACATTCATTGGGGCTTTTAGATTCTAGCTATTATGATTGGTCTCCTTACCTTAAAGTTATAACATATAGTTATCAAGTTCTCAGTGGCTTCATTTACCCATCAAACCCAGAAAGCCCATAGTGTGCCTGCAGTGTCCCAAGCACTGAGAAGACAGCAGACAGTACTACTGATGAAGCTTTACAGAGCTTATGTGTGGGGAAGAGGACAATAAAAAAAAGTAAACGATATATTTTCTAGTGGAGATGAACACTATGCAGAAAAATAGAACTCCCAAACTCTATGTCAATAAAACAGGCTGGCATGTTTGAGAGTGACTTGGGAATTACATTGAATTGTTAGTTTTTGAGTGTCAGCTGCTGCTTCATTAAAGTAAATAATCAAATCCAAAAGTAAATCTGTCTAAAAGAGATTCCGTGGAGTCATCATTTTTCTAGCGATTGCCTCTTGGATCCTAAATTCATCACGGCATCATTTTTACTTGCATTTTTTCTCTTACATGCAAACCGTGCTTTCAAACACCTAGCGGGGTGGTCTTCGAATCCCTTGCTATCTCAGTAGTTACCTTACTCTAGCTACAGAAGGCTCTGCTGAGGTCAGTATTCCTTGTTGATTTCATGCCAGTGTCAGCCTGCCTCAGGCTACCTTACACAAGAATTTCTCTTCTTGCACTTTGGTTTGTACAGAGAACCTACTATCTGAAATGATCCGCAATCTTTGGGTTGTATGGTTTTTAAAGAAAAGAGTTCATTTTGATGTTAGCTCTAGAGTAAAGAAGCATTCAACGTCTTAAAAACTAAAGTGCTAGTGGGGTGCCTGGGTGGCTGAGTCAGTTAATCATCCGACTTCAGCTCAGGTCATGATCTCATGGTTTGTGAGTTTGAGCCCCACATTGGGCTCTGTGTGGGCAGCTCAGAGCCTGGAGCCTGCTTCAAATTCTGTGTCTCCCTCTGTCTCTGCCCTTCCCGCAGTCACATTCTGTCTCTCTCTCAAAAATAAATAAACATTAAAAAAAATTTAAAAAAACCCTAAAGTGCTAGTAAAATGGCATTCGTGATAGCTTACTCTACAAGTTCATCTGTTTGTACCTTTTCAGTTCTCTCCTATTCTGTATGTTCAATGGCTTGAAAGCAAATGTTTTCATTCTTACAGGTTCTGAAAAATGGCTGAAGTTACAAAAAAAATACTCAAATATTCTTTGTTCCAAAATGAAAGGAGGATTAACAAAATGTAGTTACTTTAAAAACCACTGAAGGAACATGTGGTTCTTGCTCTTATTGAGGGCTCCAAAATAAGGAGAAAAGCAGAGCCTCTTCAAGGCTTAGTAGGTGACATTTTGAACTGGTGGCCAAAGGATTTCAAAGGCCAGAGTTTCTTGTTATTTCTAAAGTTTTTTCAGTTTTATAGAAGAATAAGAGTTTGTTTTCATTATTCTTTAGTAATTTCCCTTCCCTGCTTCTGACCTCTTTGAAGTTCTGCTTTCTTTATTTTCTAGTTTCTCAGTTCATTATTCTTTTTTGGCAGATGGGGGAGGGGCAGGGGCTGTCATTTGCCTACGAGGTATTGACTCTGGATTTGAATCCTGGCTCTAATATTACCTGTGTGATTTTGGGTGAGTTACTTATGCCTGTGCCTTAGTGTCCTTATCGGTAAAATGAAAATAATACTGATAGCACCTTCCTCAAAGGGTTGTTGTCTAGACTGTGATAATCTATGTTAAGTGCTTAGAATAGTGTCTTATTTTCTTTGAAAGATAAAGAAATGATTCTAGATATGTCCTAATAAACTTTTGGACATCAAATAAGCGTGATTTTATTTTTCTAGACATTTCTTAGCATTTTGTGGGTGACTCGAGCTTTTAGTTTCAGGTGACATTGGCAGTGGTGTCCACAGTTCTTGCAGTGTGAAGTTCCCGTCAGTGTTTGGACTCAGAAATTACTCGAGGCCACATTTTGTCTGTTTCTACAAACATGATTAGAACAAGTTTGGCCTTCTTCCATTTGCTCTGCTTGGAAAGCAAGAGGGTACCAGGAAACCCAGTTGGAGTTAGTCGGGTGAGATCCAGTTGCCATCCTGTAGTTGGAGGATGGTTTTTCATGTTAAATGTTTACAACGTATTTTTTCCACCTGAGCACCTGGACAGTCTCATCCTTTTCCTTTTAAGGAAAGGAACCTTAAAAGGTTCCTTTAGAACACCTCTTTAGCAGGCACCTCTTTAGAACATTGGCATCACGCACTAGCACTTTCTGTTTCTACCTGAGGAGTGAGGGGTGATAAAGGAACCCTTTGTGTGAGGTGGCCGAAAGCTTCCTGAGTCTGGATTCCAGAAGCTGGGTTCAAGTCCCGTTTCTGCCACGTCTTAACTCTGTGACACCAGATACGTCATTTTACCTCACCGCTGCTGCCTCTTCCATTCGTACGATAGAGCTGTGAGCCCTACCAAGCTTCCACAACTTTGCAGAGAATCACATGTACAACAGTACCCTTCATAGGCTGTGCAGCATTATTATTACTGCTTTCATCTGTTATATAAGCTGTCACTGTTTGGAGAACTGGTGTAAGAGAGCAGCGTCCCTCCTGTTGTTGGCCCACCTGCCCCATGGCTATATGTGTGGCCTCTGCCTTGCTTTCCGTCTTCTGTCAGCATTGAAAAATGTGGGTGTTTCATTGCCTCTCTCAAATGGACCTGAAGCCATTGGCACACCTTGTGAGCTTCCATTTTATTTATTCCCAAGACGGTAGTACTGTATAGCCAACAATCACAGGGCAACAGCAAGCGATCTCTGCATCAGGAAATATTGCCTGCCTTTTTCTGAAGTATTTCGGAGTGAAAATCTTTCCTTTTTCAAATCGACACCTTCCATTAGCTCCTCAGTGCAGCTTGAGGCCCTGCGGAGCTCCTCCATCCACAGTAGCCTGGATGCTCTCACTCCAGGGGTTAGGGTGAGAAGACATCCAGGGCATTGATTGTGCTCCGGGTCCCTGCTGCCTTCATGTTCCAACAGAACTGGGGCTTAGTGCTCTGTTCTTGTTATTTGAAGTTGTTTCTCAGGATCCTGGAAGGACTCTATTATAAGTAAGTAGCTCTTTGAAATGTCATGTACTTAGGTTCGTCCAGTGTTGCTGAGCTGCAGCTCTTTGTTTTGATACGTAGTACCTGAATATTTCAATATCACTTGTTCCATCTTCCAAGCTTGTGCTGAAAGTTGGGGCTGAGGTTGGAGACTTTTTTTTCCTGGGCAGGTGAAACCTAACATGGCCCTCTACACACAGTAGACATTTAGAAAACACTCTTTGACTTGAACTGGACAAGTGGAGGGGTAGTTCAGAGTTGTTTGGATGTGTTCATTTCAACAAATTGGGTTGTATGTATAGAGACCATATCCATATCTCCCCCCACCACTGCACGATGGAAGGGAGCTCATGCTGAGCCTTCCCCCCACCC